AAGAAATCTCTCACAATTATGCAGCCATAGCAGGCAGGAGGGAAGGAGGCGAATACCTCCAGCGCCAGAGACTTGTAGAGGAAGAGTCAAACTTTGGGGACTCGCCCGTGCACCAGAGGGCCAAGGCAGCGGGAGGCAAGAAGCCTGGGCGAGCTGGGCTCCTCCATGCCTGGCAGAAGATGAGGTGCAGAGGCGAGAGGTGGGCAAGCAGAAGAGGCACTCAGCCAGCCGCACAAGCTGCGTGCAAAGAAACTCCCGCTGCCCCAAGCTTCAGGGCTGCCTCGTTAAAGGAGTGCAGAGGCCAGACTCGCAAATGAGAAAAAGCAAGCTCAGGGTTCGTGGGTCGCATTTTGGGCTGTGGAAGAGGAACCGGCTCTATTCCTGGAGTTCTCTCGAGTTCCTGCGCTTTTGGTTTTGCTTTTTGCCAATCCGCCTCCCAAGACTGCTCCAGGTGCTCCAGCCTAAGGGCTGCTGGGGGCGGGGCTTGAGTGCTCATTACTTGTGGAGCTGAGGCTCAATGTCTCCAGCTGCTCAGCCACCTTCCCTTCCCTTTCATTGTTAGGTCAATACCCAAATATTTAGTCTTTTTCACAACTTCACATTGCACCAACCTTTGTAACTCCATTTTTTTCTTCTCCACCATGTTCTAGGATCCCTGCGGCTGCAGAGAGCCCGAGCAAGCCAGCTGCTGGAGGGATGTGCATTCGGTTAGTCTGAACCGAATGCACCCCCGAAAATGGCCCATTCGGGCCCCTTTCAGGCTGCTGCGGGCCAAATCAGATTCTCTGATCTGAATCGGCTTCCCGCAGTTCGGCCCCATTATACCCTTGGGCCATTGAAGTCAATGGTGAAAACATAGGGTATATTCTGGGGGCTGGAGGAGAGGGGGTTTGAGGGAGAGGCTCCAAAATCGCAGGGTGGCTGCTGGAGCCTCTCCCCAAGATACCTGCCATGTTTCAGGAACATTGAACAAGGGGGTCCAATTCTACGGGCCCCCAAACAGGTTGCCCCATCCCCTCCATTGTTCTCTATGGTGGGGAAAAAGAGGTGGAATTTGCCCCTACGAGTCCAAGGCCACCACCCCGGGGCTCAGAGAGGCAAGGGAACGTTTCGCCCGCCCACCCCCCACGCGGGCATTGCAGCTGCCACCGGGAACAGCGGTGGCGGCCATAACTTTTTAAAGAGCCCCTCCCGAGAGCTGGGGGAGCCAGAATGACCTCTTGAGCGAGAGGTGGAATTTGCCCCTACAAGTCCAAGGCCACCACCCCAGGGCTCAGGGAGGCAGGAGAAGGTTTCGCCCCCCCCACGTGCATCGGAGCTGCTGCCGAGAACAGCTGCGTCGGCCATAAGTTTTTTAAGAGCCCCTAAGGAGAGCTGGGGGAGCCAGAATGACCTCTTGAGCGAGAGGTGGAATTTGCCCCTACGAGTCCAAGGCCACCACCCCGGGGCTCAGGGAGGCGGGGAACGTTTCGCCCTCCCCACCGTGTCCCAACTGATGGCTGGGCTCCTGGGCTCCTGACTGGTGGGGTGGTGCTCCAGTGTGCTCCAGCAGGAACCGAGGCCTGGCCAGATGTACCCTTCTTAATTGTGGAAGTTAATCACTCTCAGCATTTCCACAATCAGGAAGGGTACATCTGCCCATCAATCTCCGATTTTGATATATTTATTTCCTTCGCTATGCTTCCCCCCAAATGAACGCCAAACAAATGGTGACCATATCAATTAAGCTTGTTGTTCCTGTTTGGTCCTTGAATCTGTTAAACGTCTTTATTATGCTGTATGCTAATTTGCTGCTCACCCATATGTATGGACAGGCATCTTCTGTTGCAATTCCTGAAGAAGCATGCCTGCACCTGAACACTTACACCTCGAATAAAATTTTATTGCTCTTAAAGGTGCCTGTGGACTCAAACTTTGTTCTGTCTTTTGCTTTGTTGGCCTTCCCTAGCAATGACAAGTAAGCAAGATAAACTCTGCAGTAACCGAGATAGGAGATCAAAGCAGGACAACTTGCCAAAGCTCAGCTCCCATCAGGTTGGTTAATTGGCACAAATTAGCATACTATTTTTGTCAAAACAATAGAACTCCCAGACAGTGTTCCCTCTAAGCTGAGTTAGCGTGAGCTAGCTCACAGTTTTTTAGCCTCCAGCTCACACATTTTTGTCTTCGCTCAGGAGGGATGGCTCCAGAGCAAACTAATGTATGCAGTAGCCAAATTGCTCGCTCACAGCTTTAATGCCAGTAGCTCACAAAGTAGAATTTTTGCTCACAAGACTCCACAGCTTAGAGGGAACATTGCTCCTAGACTGCCTTGGTTTTTAAACACACACACACACACAACTTGCCAGACGTCATTCTATATGGTTACTCTCGACACCTTCAAGAATATGATTTGAAGCTGGGTTTGCCAACCTCCAGGTGGGGGCTGGAGATCCCCCGGAATTACAAGCAATCTCCAGACTACATAGTTCGTTTATGCATTTATTATTTATTAACTTAAACCTTTTATTCCACTTCTGGGGGAAATGGCTGCTTTGGAAGGTGGAGTTTATGGCATTATATCCTGCGGCGGTCCAGTGTTCCCTCTAAGCTAAGTTAGTGTGAGCCAGCTCAATGTTTTTTAGCCTACGGCTCACCCATTCTTGTCTTAGCTGAGGAAGGAGGGCTCCAGGGCAAACTGATTTATGCAGTAGCCAAATCGCTCACTCACAACTTTCATGCCGGTAGCTCACAGAGTAGAATTCTTGCTCACAAGACACCGCAGCTTAAAGGGAGCATTGCTGAGGTCCCTCCAGGGCCGGCACACTCACTAGGCAAATTAGGCATTCGCCTAGAGCACACCGGCCCTTAGGGGTGCCAAACTGCACCCCCCCGCCAAAAGCTCCCCCCGCTGGCTCTGACCGGGGGGCACGGGGGGCACCAGAAGGGATCCTTGCCTAGGGTGCAAAATATGCTGGGGCCGGCCCTGGGTCCCTCCCCTCTCTAAACCCCAGGCTCCCCAGGCTCCACCCCCAAATCTCCAGGAAATTCTGAACCCAGAGTTGGTAACCCTATTAGAAGCAATGCAAACAACGAAATGATCGATTTAAGCCCTCTCCTGAAGAACAGAGAAGGTAGAAACTTTACCCAAAAAATTGCATTAGGAACCGAAACAAAATCCAACCAGAAATTTTCCTGAGAAGCTTAATTGAAATGAACAGGGCTTGTGCAGAAATTCTGGGTAGATTCTTCCCAAAAGGAATGACACACACTCCACTTGGAAGGGAAAAGAGCAACAAGTTCTACTGCTACAGTTCCTTGCACAGAATTATTTTCCTTAGAAGGCTACTTGACTACAGTGAAGTTGGCAAAGCTAAAGCAGACTCTCACCTGAGTGACTACAGCCTGGAGGCTGAGACTGGGCGTGAAACCTTGAGTAGGTTTTTCTGAGTCTGAATAAGCCAATGGAGGGCTACACTGCATTTTTAAGCATGTTTTTAACTTTGCTACCTTTTAGTCACCTTTTCATTACCTTCTTCCAGTCCTTCAGGATCCATGCAAATAAATACTCATGCCTCATCATACTAGCACATTAGCTTTGGCACCCACACATCAGCATTCCTAGAAAAGCCATGCATCATTCCACACAGCTTGGTGAATGTTTGGCTCATCAGCTGCCAGCATTTCAGATAGCCCCACTCCATGGCCTGCTATCCTGCAAACGGACTGGGCCAGGAATCGCAAATATACCTTTACAAAGTTCAAGGACAGACGCTGAGAGCTTTGATAAGAATGAACAGCAAGAGCAGGGGGGAAAGACTAGAAAAGCGGTTTGCATTCTGGCGCACAGAAAACCTCCCACCGAAAGAGCAGAACTCCTCCACTTTTCATCCCAGAAGGCAAAGGGGCCAGACTTCTATCACTGCAGATACTTTCAACACCACAGCTCTCTAAAATGAATGGTTTCGGGAATGTCCTCCCCTTTTCTAACCAAGGAAGGGCCCCTCCGGACTCTCCTGGAACTGTTCCTAGAACTCTGGCTGCTGCCCGCACAGGGAACCGGCCCTACCTGGGATCTTGGCAGGTTTGTCCTCCATGGCTGGTAAATCTTCCCTATCTTCTAAGAGCCATAAGACCGGGGCCTCTGCCGTGTGTCACTACGGCCAGGAGGATTTCCCTGAGGGTCAAGTTTCAGACCGAGGGGTCATTCACAGCAGCTGCCGAGAGCGGGAGGCCGCACAACAAATCCAGAGAGCCTTTCCAAAAGGAACCATCATGTGGCCTTGGGAGAAAGGTCAGCTCTAATATTACCCCCGGCTGTGGGAAGAAGCCGGAAGGAGACCTGGGATTGTGGAGCACGGGAAAGACTTTCGCCTGGCTAACAGGAGCCCGGCGGGGCCAAGAGTCTGTGCTTCGAACGTGGAGATTCTGTGGGAAGAGGAGTCGCTGTTTTAGGGGGGTTTAGCAATCGGGGGTCCTTCCACAGGCAGGGCAGATACGCAGCCGTCTCTGGGGAATGTCTGCTTTTCTAAGAAATAAAAAAAATCCGGTGCTTGTTATGAGCATGGCCAGATGTTGTTTATCTGAGAAGTTGTCACTGGAGCAGGAGCCAAGAAAGTTAAGCGAAACATGCGCAAGGGCGCATTCCTTCTCTTCACTATTTCATAACCACAGACGACGCTGGTTCACGGATCCGAGATTGGGAAATCCAGGGAGAGAACACATGCACGGGGTGGAGAGAGTTGACAAAGAGAACTCCCCCCCAAAAAATACTAGAAATCGAAGAAGAAGAAGAAGAAGAGATTGGATTTATACCCCGCCCTTCACTTGGAGTCTCAGAGAGGCTTACAGACTCCTTTCCCTTCCCCTCCCCATAACAGACACCCTGTGAGGTGGGTGGGGCTGAGAGAACTCTGACACAAACTGCTCTTTTTCAAGGACAGCTGTGCCAGAGCTTGTGACTGACCCAAGGTCACATCAGCAGGTGCAAGTAGAGGAGTGGGGAATCAAACCCGGTTCTCCCAGATTAGAGTCCGCACACTTAACCACTACACCAAACTGGCTGATGGGCAGTAGGTTCAGGATGGACAAAAGGAAATACTGCTTTATACAGAGAGTGATTACCCAATGGGAAATTCGCTGCTAGAGGATGAAGTGATGGCCACAGGAATGAACAGCTTTAAAAGGGGATTTGACAGATTCATGGAAGAGAGGTCTATCATAGGCTATTAGCCATAGTGACTGAGGGGAACCTCCATATTCAGAGGCACTACACCTCTGAATTCCACAGCCCAGAGGCAACATCAGGAGAAGGCCTCGGCTTCTATACCCTGTTGTTGGCCATCCAGAAGAACTGGCTCGCCACTGTGTGAGACAGGATGCTGGACTAGATGGACTAGATGGACCCTCAGTGGTCTGATCCAGCAGGGCTCTTCTGATGTTCTTATCAGGGAAGGCCTCAGCCTCTCTGCTCTGTTGTTGGCCCTCCAGAGGAACTGGCTGGCCCCTGTGTGAGACAGGATGCTGGACTAGAGGGACCCTCAGTGGTCTGATCCAGCAGGGCTCTTCTGATGTTCTTATCAGGGGAAGGCCTTGGCCTCTCTGCCCTGTTGTTGGATCTCCAGAGGAACTGGTTGGCCCCTGTGTGAGGCAGGATCCTGGACAAGAGGGACCGACTGATTTGATCCAGCAGGGCTTTTCTTCTGTCTCTCTCTGTCTCTCTCTGTCTCTCTCTCTCTCTCACACACACACACACACACACAATGTGGACCCAAAGCAGCATACATTGTCCTCCTCACCACAACCCTATGAAGTAGGTCAGGCTGAAGAGAGTGTGACTGGCCCAAGGTCACCCAGGCGGCTTCCGTGGCTGATCCAGCAGGGCTCTTTGAATGTTCTAATGAAGGCCTCGGCCTCTCTGCCCTGTGGCTGGCCCTGCAGAGGAACTGGTTGGCCCCTGTGTGAGACAGGATGCTGGACTAGACGGACCACTAGCCTGATCCAGCAGGGCTCTTTGAATGTTCTCATGAAGGCCTCGGAGGCTGGGCCTCTCTGCCCTGTTGTTGGCCCTCCAGAGGAACTGGTTGGCCGATGTGTGTGAGACAGGATGTTGGACTAGATGGACCACTGGTTTGATCCAGCGGTGCTCTTCTTATGTTCTTATAAGAGGAAGACCTCAGCCTCTCTGCCCTGTTGTTGGCCCTCCAAAGGAACTGGTTGGCCGATGTGTGTGAGACAGGATGTTGGACTAGATGGACCACTGGTTTGATCCAGCTGGGCTCTTCTCATGTTCTTAAAGGAGGAAGACCTTAGCCTCTATGCCCTGTTGTTGGCCCTCCAGAAGAACTGGTTGGCCCCTGTGTGAGACAGAATGCTGGACCAGATGGACCACTGGCCTGATCCAGCAGGGGTCTTCTGATATTCTTATGAAGGCCTTGCCTCTATGCCCTGTTGTTGGCCCTCCAGAGGAACTAGTTGGCCACTTTGTGAGACAGGATGCTGGACTAGACGGACCACCATCCTGATCCAGCAGGGCTCTTTGAATGTTCTCATGAAGGCCTCGGCCTCTCTGCCCTGTGGTTGGCCCTGCAGAGGAACTGGTTGGCCGCTATATGAGACAAGATGCTGAACTGGATGGATCGCTGGTCTGACCCAGCAGGGCTCTTCTGATGTTGTCAACACAGCTTCCAGGCAGTCTTCTGGACCCTTGTCTATCAGACACAAACATTTTTGTGTTGGACTCAGACTGAGGTACAGTAGAGTTAAGGATAGAGCCATCTGAGTAGATGAAGATGTCTGTTATTTTAAATTATGTATAATTTGATTTTTAAAATTTACTTTATTCATGGTCGCCCTTTCTCACTTGGACTCAAGGCGGGTTACACAGAGTGAGTCGATAAGATCAATTTCTCTTCCAGCAAAACCACGCACTGAAAGGGAACAACATTCCAGCATGTTTGAATGCTTTTTTTTAAACAAAGGATTTTCTGATCAGGGCTCTTTTTGTAGAAAAAGCCCAGCAGGAACTCATTAACAAAATAGGCCACACCCAACAGCAGGAACTCATTAGCATATTGGGCCACACCCCTGACAGCACAGCTCATTAGCACATTAGGCCGCACCCCCATGTTACCAGAAGTGTGGTTATCCAGCCACACCCACCTTTTGCTTGTTATTCTGTTTACCTTGTTTGTTGTCAAAACCCAGGGCTTTTTTTTTTTTTTTTAGGTTTATTGATTTTTTATTACACCTACGTGACTACAAAAAGAAAAAGAGAGAAAGAAGAAAAAAAAAAAAGGAGAAAAAGGGCTTTTTTGTAGCAGGAACTCCTTTGCATTTTAGGCAACACACCCCTAATGTAGCCAATCCTAATGAGTCCCTGCTGTTGGTTGTGGCCTATTATGCTAATGAGTTCCTGGTGGGCGTGGCCAACTTGCGAGCCAGCCGGAACGCCGTTCCTGTGCGCTCCTGCCCCAAAATAGCCCTGAATACTATGTATAACTTGTCCACAGTTTGCTTTGAGAGAACAGTGGTTTGCCCTTTGTTTGATTGTTGGCTTTCAGACTAGCGGGGGGGGGGGGTTGCTGTCAATGTGCAGGCAGTTTGTGGTGACCCCATAAGGATTTCCAGGCAAGAGAAACAGAGGCGGGTTTGCCATCACTTGCCTCTGCGCAGCGACCCTGGACCTCCTTGGTTCTTCAGCCAAGTACTAGCCATGCTTAGCTTCTGAGATACGATGAGATTGGGCTGGCTTGGAACATCCAGATCAAAGCAAGAGACCGACAGAGGCAATTTGCCATCGCCTACCTGTACGTAGCAACGCTGGAATTTCGTGGTGGTCCCCCATCCAAGTATTACCCGGGCCGAGCCTGCTCAGTTTCCGAGATAGGACTAGCCTGGGCTATCCCGGTCAAGGCAGGAGACCAACAGAGGTGGTTTGCCATTGCCTTCCTCCAGGGGTCATTTCGTAGAAAAAGAGGTGCAGGAGCTCATTAGCACAACTCATTAGCATAACTCATTTGCATATGCCACACCCCCTGACATCACCGGAAGTGTGTCAGAAGGCAACACCCACCGCTCAGGCTCCACTGGACTGTTTTGGATTGCTAGCTATGGGGGGGGGGACACGCGCAGATCTGCCCTCACAGAGGAGGTGGAGCTTGTACCTGAATAAAACTTGGTCTTAAAGGTGCCACTGGACTGTTTTGGATTGCTAGCTATGTGGGGGGGGGGACATGCACAGATCTGCCCTC